CAACGCCACCAACGACGGCCAAGGCACCAGAGCCTGCGAAGCGGAAGGCGGGTGAGGAGGCCAAGGCGGGACAGAAGCGTAAAGATACGGCTCCTGTGAATGTGCGGCGCGGCGGCGCACACCCCGCCGCGCAGACCTCGGGCGGTGCCAGCAGTTCGAGTGACCCCAACCCCAAGCCGACGCCATCAGCGGCGCCAAAGCCCGTGGCGCCCACGGTGCCAAAGTCCGCCAAGCCGACGCCATCAGCGGCGCCAAAGCCCGTGGCGCCCACGGTGCCAAAGTCCGCCAAGCAAACGTCATCAGCGGCGCCAAAGCCCGCCAAGCCAACGCCACCAACGGCGGCCAAGGCACCAGTGCCTGCGAAGCGGAAGGCGGGTGAGGAGGCCGAGGCGGCACCGAAGCGTAATGGTACGGCTCCTGTGATTGTGCGGCGCGGCGGCGCGCACCCCGCCGCGCAGACCTCGGGCGGTGCCAGCAGTTCGAGTGATCCTAACCCCAAGCCGACGCCATCAGCGGCGCCAAAGCCCGTGGCGCCCACGGTGCCAAAGTCCGCCAAGCAAACGGCATCAGCGGCGCCAAAGCCCGCCAAGCCAACGCCACCAACGTCGGCCAAGGCACCAGTGCCTGCGGAGGCGGCTCGCAAGGCAAAGGCTGCGTGCAAGAACACTGCGGTCTCGCAGAGAGAAGTAATGCGCAAGAGCGAGAGCCAGAGCAAGAGCAAAAAAACCTCACAGTCGAACGAGATGGGTCCGGAGATTGTAGACCTCGCACAGTTGTCCGACCTCGGCGGCGAAGCGAATCGTGACAGGGGGGAACGCGAGCTGGCTGAGTTACGAGAGCAGGCGCCGCCGTCGTCGCCGACGGAATCGGAGAGGTCGTTCAAGGACACTCGCCGATTTCGGCGTCACTAGTAGTGGCACTAGCCAATCGTGGCGGAGGTGTGGCGGCGACGCGCGCACGCCAAGGGATCGGGCGCGAGAGACGAGGCGGCACGCGCAGAAGGGTGCACCGGAGTGTCACCGTCACTCACGCCCGCCGCCGCCGCCGTCCGAAGTTCGTGCGAGGGTGGTGGAGCGGTGGGAGCGCTCGCGGGTGAGGCTCGTCGGTCGGTCGAGTGGGCGGGTGGTGGGGGAGGGCCGCCGTGGCCTCGGCCGCGGCCGAACCGCGCGGAGCGGGCCGCGGGGCGGCGCAGGAGGCGCCCTGGCCGCGGCGGCGAGCTGGTGAGCTGGCTGGTGAGCTGGGCTCGTACACAGCCTCGATGCCCTGCCTCTTGGTTCGGCCGCGAACAATGCGGAAGCTCCCCGGGTTGGTCCGCACCCACACATTCCAGGCCGCCAGCAGCCGCGCCCATGAGCCAGGTGAGCGGTGTTCGACGAACTCGTAGAGATCGCGCAGAGTCAGCTGAATCTGAGCGGCCCGAGACCACCATGTGTGAGGACGCGACGGGCGGATCCCTCAGAGAAGGAGTGCGACAGACTTCGCGAACCCCGGGAAGAAATCCGACTGCCTGGAAAGGAAAGATGGGTGGCGCGCGATGTTTACATCTATTCGCATTGCGCACCGCATCCTTCCCGATGCCCTGTTTGACGACGTGGAGCACCGGAAGCCCATATCGGTACGCTAGGCTGCCGGGGAGGTGCCTGCGTGTGCCGACAGGCGCTCAGCGTACTTACCTCTGCCGCCGGGCTGGGTGAGTGGCAAATTCATCACCATTTAGTATTGTCGCGGTAGTGCAAGCCGATCCCCGCGAGCACTCGTCGCCACTCATCAAAGATGGCGCGCTTCTCGCCGCGCTCGCCTGGTTCGGCTAGACGCCAGTCTGCCTCAGCAAGCCGTGTGAAGCGGTAAATTCTTCCCTCGCCTGTTCACGATTGCAGGATAATACTACGCCCTGGCTTGATACAGGGTAGAATCTGAAAAGCGCTCGACTCTCAGTGCAACGCATCAGCACTGGCTCCTCGTAGTGCGAGAGCTCCCCACTTGCCGCGCGGCACCGGGCGCACCTAGAAGGGCACTACCACCATCAATTTGAGGAAATCTAGAGAGGGCACGTGCCGCAGTCTCACACCGCAGCTGATTGCACTTCGCATCTTGGCACTTTTCCGGGTGGTCGAGGATAGAGAGCTGCAAAATCGGCCATACTCTTGCGTCGCCAATGTCCATCCCGTTCTGCATCGCGTCGGTGAGCTCCTCGGTCCGCAGCAGGGTGTCGAGCAGTGCTGTGATGTAATTCGCCCGCTGCCGCCGCTTCTGCGTCTCACCGAGCGGTGGCGACTGGTCAAAGTGGAGAATCGGCCAGAGGGCAAGCAGGCGCCAGTTGATTGGGTTGCGCTTCTCGTCAAGGGAAAGGTGGTTGCTGACAATGTAGACGGGGTAAAAGCTGCGCCCGAACTTTTCCGATTTGTCGTGAAATATGTCAAACGAAAAGACGTAGCCGTTCGGATCGATCGCACGTACGCGCGCCTGCTGGGCCTCGAGCCAGGTGCCCGTAATTGGCGCGCCAAAGACACGTTCGCCATTGCGGAAGCACGGCGTCGCCTCCCGGTGCTCTGCAGAGTCAGAGGCCAGATCAGTGAACATGTCCCGCAACACGGACAACGAGGATCGCTGATATGCAATCAAGCAGACGGTGCCTGCAGCGCCTTTGATGGCGTCCATCCGCGGAAAAGGATTTGAGCCGTCCGCAAAAACCACGTCCGTTGGAGAGAACTCCATTCCACGATCTGCAGTGTAGCCGTCAAGCAGCCTGTCGATGTCTGCCTGCGTAAAAAGCCGCAGAGAGGGCTGGCCAGCCGCTCGTCGCACCTCTGCCTCGTTTGTAAGATGCCGAGCCGCATCCTTCCGGCTCCACTGCGAGTCCTTGCTCATCTGGATCCAATGCCATTCATCGAGACTGTACATCACTCTCGGCGTCTGAGCCCTCGGATCATTGAGTACCTGCCTTAGCTGCCGCTCACGCGTGGCCGCACGCGCATTTGCGCTCTCGGCAGAAGCAGCAGCTGCCGCCGCTTCAGCCGCATCGACAGCCTGACCTGGCGAGGGCTCCTGCTCCATCGGTGTGGCGTCGTGGCTGCAGCCACTTGCACCACTGCCTGGTGGAGAACGAGTGTCGTCGTCACCCGGCAGCGAGTCTGGGCCAGGAGACAAAGACGCCGCAGCAGCTTCCTCGTCAGCATCCGATGACGGCGGCATTCCCATCATGGATGCTTGACGACGGGCCAGGCTGCCGGCCGTCTGGCCTGTACACGACCTTTTATGCTGGCCAATCATATTTAGCGAGGTGTGAGTGAATGAACAGAGCGGACACTTGTGCAACCTCATCGCGATGCTCTTGGTTGGCAGACAGACAGCCCGGAACGGACGGCCCCGACGTAGAATTTATTTCTTTGGCCGCACCCCCCCCCCCCCGCTTTTTGACGAACTCGACTCGTTGCACATGCCGGAGGGAACTAACTTTAAACGAACCTAACTTAACTTTAAACAAAATCAGTTCGGGGTGCAAACGAAATGGGATCGCGAACGTAAACATTCTTGAGAAGAGGGAAAAAAGGGAAAAGGGGGAGGGGGGAAAGAAGGGGGGGGGGGGGGAAGGGAAGGGGGGGGAAGGAAAGGGGGGGGGGAGACCCTTAAAAAGCTCTAAAAGGGAACCCCCCACCCCACGGGGGGAGGGGTTGGGCCAAACGCTCCTTCTTTTATTAGGGGGTTTGAATGGGATTAGAACCGTGAGCCCGGCTCCGAAAAAAAAAGGGGGTGGGGCCCCCCTTTTTGGGTAAAAAAAAAAGGGGGGTCCAAAAACAACGGGTTCTAAATGTGGCCCCCCCCCCCCCCCCCCCTCCCTCCCGCACCCCCACCCCGCTAATCCGGTCGTCCTATGCCCGGTCGTCCCCACCCTAGGACTATCCTACTTGCGCGCGTGCCGGCCCTCTGCGACCTCACGGCGACTGAGCTCCTTGAGCGCGCGGGCCCGCCCCCGGGGTCCGATCCCGACGGCAGCCGCACGTACCAGAGCTGCCCCGCCGCGTGGCCGGTCGACGGGGTGGTCGTCAACAACGGCTTCTGGCTCGAGCCGAGCGCCGACCGCACGACGTGAGTGCTGCAGCACGATCCCCCCCCCCCCCCAAGCAGACAGCCCTCACCACCTGCAGCTCGACTAGGCTCCTCGACACGCTCGCCAAGTCCCTCCCCCCGGGCGAGAACGAGCCGAGCCTCAACCTCCTCTGCTTCGCCCTCATGGTACTCTTTGACAAGCTCAAGGTAGTACACCTAGGGAGTCTGCCTCTTCCTATCTCTCTTCGCAGTCTCTCTCCGATTCTCGCTTCAACCTTCGTGCCACCTCGCGGCCGTCCCACTCTCGTCGCTTCCTCTGTCGCGTCGTTCTCTTGGCGAACAGCTGTACTGGACGGGCTCGAGCAAGTCTTTCTTTTCACGCTAGAACTAAAAAAAGAAAGAACGAAGACCGAAGGTATATATCGGCAGGTGTATGTTATTTTTGCTTGGGCGGCCAGCATGCCGGGGTAGGTAGGGTAGGTCTGGGCCCTCCCGTCGGGGTTTTCCCTCTCTTCACGAATTTTCAAAAAAAGAAAAATTCGACCGAAATCACGATATCAACCCTCCCCAAGTGGGTGATCTGGTGCTTGTAGGGCTTGAGAGTGGCAGCCTGTCATGTCTCAGGAAGGACTGTGGTTGCAGGAGAGTACCACCACCCATGACTTTAGTTGGTATAGTAGTAGGTAGGTAGGTAGAAAGGTGAAGAACAGCCAGGCTCGGACTGGACACCAACGCGTAGTACCCCACCTTCACCCGTCCGATGATTTCTTTTTTAGTTTCCCATAAGTAGGGTAGGTAGGTAGGTAGGTAGATCTAGGTAGGTAGGGGCACCTCAGGGGCAGGTTAACTGAAAATAACACCTGGAGCATCCCTCCTGAGCTCCGCCGCGTCCTCAGTCCCACAAGTTTCGAGTTATCACGACCACCTCGCCGCAGGCTGCTCTTACGCGATGAACACCGTGACGGTTTCGCGCCGCGGTGGCGTCTTGCTTGCTGTGGCTTCCGGCATGTGTCCTCTCGGCACGAGCCCTCTCCCGCGCCGCGCCTTTGCCGCCGACGCCTTGGCCGGCGGCTCGCGCGTTGTCGTGGACGAGCGCTTCTCGATCACTATCCCTTCCGGATTCGTCCGTCTCTCTCGTGGCGGCGTCGGTGGCTCGAATACACTGCTCTCGGCTGGCGACTTCCGTGGCGCGATCCGCGAGACTGGGGCCGCCACTACGCTCTCTGTCCAGCGCGCAAACGCATCCGCTGTCGCTGCGCCGCAGGGCGACGAGGCGGCGGCGCTGACGGCAGCGGCTAATTCGCTTGCGTCGCTGCGCGACGAGCAGTCGGCGCTCGGTGGCGGCTGCCCGTCCGCCGTGCTGCCAGGGACGGTCGACCTGCGGGGCGGGATCCTCCGATTCGAGATGGCGACGCCGCTGGCTTGCATTCCCGGAAGCGCCGCGCAGGCGCCGAACGAGCTGTTGCGGCACACCGCTGTGCGGGCGGCGTGGTCGGGCGGCGGCGTGCTCCTCCTCTTTGCGGGCGCGCGGCAGACGGAGTGGCTCGGGGGAGCGGGGGAGGCCCTGACGGCGGCGGCGGACAGCTTCGCGCCGCTGTGATGTTCTTTACCTTGTATGGAAAAGAGTGGAACCAGAAGTGAGAAGATGGGCGACAGCAGTCAGCACAGGGCTCAGGGGTGGACCTGGACGCGTCCTCCCCGAGCGCCGAGCCCGAGGGGGAACGGCGGTTTTGGGATTTGGGCAATGGAGGCAGATCTCGGCGCCCTTTTGTTTTTGCCTCCATCGCGGATGGGCGAGGGCGTCGGCGCACTAATTCTTCCCCGGATCATGTAGTCCCCACACTCGCTGTCGTGAGTGAGTGAGTGTAGGTATGTTGTTGGCAACGCAAGACACAGAGCTCACACAAAATCACATTGGGTGGAAAGCGAACGAGTCACTTAACAGGGGTCAATTAGGCATTAGGGCGGGCCACCCTGTCCAGAGGCGGAGTGAGTGAGTATTCTTGATAGGAAACCAAGACGACACACACCAGTCGACTCGCATCGGTTGCCTCCATGAACGGCGGAGCTATTCACACACACAATACTCACTCGCTGTGGAGCCACGAAGTTTCTCTTTTCGCCAGCGTCGACGAGTGTGGCTGCTCCGTTAGCCTCGAATGGCGACGGCAGACAACAGCCTAGCGTCGCCTGCGGAGACCAGCTCCGCTGCCGATGTCGTCATCGACGTGTCGGGCTCGGGCTTCGCCTCGATTCAGGACGAGTGGGTCGCGGAGCCCGGTGTGAGCGAGCTGTGCCTCATGTTCAACGCGATCGAGAGGATCGAGAAGCTGGACGGGCTGACGTCGCTGCGGAAGCTCAACCTGCGCGCCAACCGCATCGCCGAGATGCGCGGGCTGGGATCGCTCTCTCAGCTGGCAGAGCTCGAGCTCTACGAGAACCGGATCGAGCGGATAGAGGGTCTGGAAGGGCTCGAGGCGCTGACGATGCTTGATGTGTCATTCAACCGGATCGGCAAGATCGAGGGCCTGGAGGGCGCCGGCCTCGCCTCGCTCCAGCAGCTCTTCCTCGCCAACAACTCAATCTCGGAGCTGGGCGGGCTCGCCAACCTCCCTGCTCTCCGCCTCCTCGAGCTCGGATCGAACCAGATCCGCACGGTGCCCTGCCTCAAGGCGCGCGCCACCGCCGTCGCGCCGCAAGCCCTCGCGCCGCGCCGCCGCGCGCCGCCCGCGCGCACGCCGCCCGCCGCCGAGGCTGACCTTGTCCTCCCGGCTGCGCGGCAGCACCTGCGTCGACTCGAGGAGCTGCACCTCGGCCGGAACAAGATCAACAGCCTCGCCGGCCTCGCCGGCCTGCCTGCGCTGCGCGTGCTCGGCGTCGCCTCCAACCGGCACCGCTGCCCGCAAGGGACACTCGACAGTCACACCCCGCCGCCATTGAGTCGCTTGGCCGCTTCTTTAGGCTGCGCTCGCTTGAGGGCGCCGCCCGCCTCGCCGCCCGCCTCGCCGCCCGCCTCGCCGCCCGCCTCGCCGCCCGCCTCGCCGCCTGCCTCGCCGCCCGCCTCTCGAACCTTGCCCTGAACCGCCACCCCGCCCGCCGCCGCCCTCGCCTGACCGCAGGGATAGAGGGGCTAGAGACCCTGCGCGAGGTCTACGCGGACCACAACGGCATCGACAGCATGGGCGAGAGACGCACCTCCCACCCACCCTGCCGGCCGCCTCTGCATCAACGCTTCCCCGCCCGCGCCATCCAGGCACGCTCGTGCGGCTCGAGCGGCTGCACACTCTCGACCTCTCCGCCAACCGGCTGGCGGCCATCGAGGCGTCACTCCGAGAAGCTTCCACCGCTAGACCCACTCCCACGCTTGCGTGTCGGGTGGTCGCCAGAGCCTTGCCGTGCTCTCGGCACCGCACGCTGTCTCCGCCGCGACAAGTCACCGCAAGCCCCTCCCGCCCCTCCTGCCTGACGACGCTGCTTCTCCCTGCCCCTTCGCCAGTGCGCCTCGCTCGCCTCGCTCGAGGAGCTGTGGCTCAACACAAACCCGATCGCCACGCTGTCCGACGTGGCGCAGCTGTCGACCCTCCCCGTCCTCAAGACCATCTACCTCGAGGGCTGCCCGGTCAGCAAGCTCGCCGACTACAGGCAGGCGCTTCTGCGGCTGGCGCCGCGGCTACAGCAGCTGGACGCCGACATGATCCCGCAGAGCTGACAGCGGTCAGCACGCCCCACCGAGGACCGAGCATCTCTCCTACCGTGGAACCGAGCCAGGTCCACGGCGCGGCAGCGGACCAGCGCGCAAGGGCCCCGCAACAGGTCAGCATGCCCAGCCCGAAGCCGTGCGCGCGCGAAAAGCTCTGGGTTTTACCTCCGCGAGAGCGGATTCCGGTTTGCGGTGGAGGGGGAGGGGGAGCCAGCAGCCACAGGGGAGGTGTTACGCTTACCCCCGGGGATGTGAAGTGTTCTCTCGAGAGACGAGAGGTCTGGCGTCTGCGGTTAGTGTTTTGCATGTCATGTGTAATGATGTATTTTCTACTGAATAACAGCGGTGACTGGCCCCAAGCCTCAGCCATGCTACGCGGATAACACCCCATCACTCGCACATACGCACCACCTCAACGCATGCCACTTGCCACACATCTCTGTCCACTGTCGGTACTCGGAACTCGCGTACTGCGGTCAACGACTGCCGCTTGAGCGGAAGTTTTCTGAGGGCAGCGACCTTCCGTCGGCATCGAACTCTCGGATCTCGGACATCTTCTTCTGCTTCTCGAAGATGGCCCGCCCGAACGGCCGCGGGTCCTCGAGGAACTCCTGCGCGTCGCGCAGCACGCCCATCCGCGGCGGCGGCGTGGCGGGCGCAGACAGCGGAGCCTCGTCCAGCTCGATCGTGTCGGCGGCCGCGACGTTGGTGAAGGGCGGCGGCTGCGGCGTCTCGCCCGCCGTGGCGGCGGGCGCCGCGTAGCAGCGGTTGTCGATGGCGCAGAAGCTGGTCGGCTCGAGGCCGGCCTGGCGCGCGATCGAGTAGATGTGCGGCATGGCGGAGGCGGGCAGGTCGGGCTTGCGCGCGTACACAAAGGCGCCCTCGTACTTGTTCTGCAGCGTCTTGCCCGTGTAGTAGACGATGCGGAACGCGTCCTCGCCGCGGTCGTTAGCGCCGATCACGTACCAGTTCTCCCAAAAGGTGAGGCCAAACATCTTGCCCTCGGTGTGCGCCGTCCGGTGCGAGCCGGGCGTCGTGTCGAAGACGAGCTTCTCGTGCAGCTGCGCGTGGAAGTCCTGCGGCATGCCCGCGCGCTGCCGCGGCAGCGAGTACTCGACGTCCACGTCGACCGCCGACCCGTCCGCCGCGATGGCCATCGCCTGCTGCCGCGCGGCCGGCCGGAAGGAGTTGCGCTGGCAGTCGTAGCAGTCGTAGTTGGAGTTCCAGCCCATCACCTTGTACCACTTGCCCGCCATCTGCTGCGGCGTCACCGCGACGAGCGGCTTGGGCGGCAGCGGCGCGTCCAGCGGACCGTCAGCCCCCGGCGCGACGATGGCGATCTTCAGGCAGCTCTGGTCCTCGATGGTGCACGAGAGCACGTCGTCGAGCACCGGGTTGCCAAACTTGGCAAAGCAGCCGACGGTGCACTGCGTGTCGCCCATGCACTTGGCGGCGCAGGTGAGGCCCTTCATGCAGTCGCCGTTCTCCGCGCACGCCTTTGTCTGCAGCTTGCACGACTTGGCGAAGCACTGCGGGTCAATCAGCTCCGACTTGAACTGCCCCTGCGCCAGGTCGGCCAGCTCGTTCTCGGCGTAGCCGGGCGAGGCTGAGCCAAGGAGCAGCGCAGCGCTGGCGAGCAGCGCGGCGGCAGACTGCGCGGCAGACTGCGCAGGCTGCAGCAGCCAGCGCTGTCCGCTGCCGCCGCGCCAGCCGTCTGCAGAGGACGCCTCGGAGTGCGCAGCGAGCGTCGCGGCGCCGTGCCGCCCTGCGGCGGAGTGCGAGGCGGAGCAGCCCGGCGAGCCGGGCGGAGCCGGCTGCGGCAGCGCGGCCGGGCCGACCGAGAAGGACAAACCTGACAAGTATGTGACGACGAGCATCTCACGCGATCCAATGCTAATGAAGAGGCGCGAACTATTTCTTTTTTAAATTGCGCCCTTGCACTCGGGTGTCGCTGCCCTTGCACTGCTTGCCATCCCGCTGCTGCCTGTTCTGTTTGCGGCCAACCCCGATCAGGCGTAAGAGTCTCACGCGCGAGCAGTGTAGGAGAGTCCCCCGCCTGCTTTGACCTTTGACCTTTGTCCTTTGTATGGTGTTGTCGCATGCATGACCGGGGCATGATCGCTCTTGCTATTGCCGCTGGCGCATCATCCATCGATGCGAGAGCAGGTCGCACACGCGCCGTCGGCGCTCAGGCTCTGCCGCGGATCATGGATCCATTGATGAGGCGCGGGCGTGTGGCCCTACGGGGTGTGGACCGTGAGTTGACCAGGGGTTGTGCGCCTGGCCCTCCTGCTCGGCTCCAGCCGGTAGACAAGTCTTGTCATCAACAGAGTAGATGGATCTGACCTCGGGGCCGATGTGACCAAGCGCTGGTAGCGTGGTTTTACCTCACACCCATGGTCTCACAGTGTGCCGGCAGTCGCCGAGCAGTGTCGCTCACACAAGCCGCAGCACAAGTGACTGAGGGCCAGTGAGGGCGAGCCCATCGCTTTCACAGCTGTGGTAGCCGCACAGTAGGCTGTGTCAACTGTGCAGAGCGTGTGAGCAGCCGAGGAGCTGCTCTCCAGGCTTCTGACGCAAGAGCTGCATGCCATCGAAGGCGCTGTCGAGGTTCGCCGAGCGCGGCGCAGGTTGGAGGACACCGTCACCGACGAGCGCGTTGGACTTTTCACTCCGGACAAAGACGGCGACACGCACACGAGCTGCGGCCGTGTCGCCGTCATAGCGGCGAGGCGCGGGACCGTCTGTGGCGAAGTGGGTCGCGTCCTCCGATTTCCTCAACTCACGGTCCGCTCCCTCTAGCCTGTCCCGAGACGGATATGAGAGAGAGAGATGGGACACGGATGATTCTCGTCGTCGTCGCCGCTGCCGCGCGTAGTGTGTACTCTGCTTCGCGCGAAGTGTTCGATGGCACTTCACCTTCAGCGCATGTGGCATGACCGGGTCATCATTTAAGCGTGCCAGAGCGCACAAACGAACGATATACCGCTAAAAAGTCCCAAAAAAAGGGACAGTCGAGTGCTCACACGAAGTGCTCACCTCTCGTCGCGCCTCGCGAGCAGCTGCAGCGCCTCACGCGGCGTCAGCAGGTCGCCCTTTGCACAGTATCTGCGCATGCGCTCCACCTCGCCTTGCACGAGATCCGTGCGGACGCCACGGACAACGCCCTGCGAGTGCACAACCTCCGCGTTCCACCACCCCGGAGCGGTGCCGCCAGCTGCTGCGTACACGTGCAGCGCGGGCATTTCGCGAGCGCAAACGCTCAGAAACGTGAGCAGGGCGCGTGGCATGTGGAACGGAGGCGCCACCACGACCAACGCCATCGCATTTTGCCGTTGGCATTCGCGAATGACGGTCTCTGCCTCTGTGAGAGTGTTCGCATATGGCAGCTCGTAGGGCAGTCGCTCGTGCGAGAGCCCCGCGCGGTCGAGTAGTTCCTCGAGTACCTGCGGACCACCGTAGCAAGGTGTTGGCGGCTCGAGCTTCTCGTTCTCCAGACCGAGCAGCAAAGTTTGTATCCCCGGAGGCAGCGCAGCACGGGCCATCGCAGCGCCTGCAGCGACTGACGACACGTTGTCGTCGGTGTGTGAGGTGAGATAAAGAAGGACGTGGTTGCCGTAGCGTTTGGTGTCGCAGCCCGAGTCGCAGAGGGCGCGCATGACGAACGTGAGCATGTCGTTTTCATCTGCGCTGCGTATGGCCAGCGCCGCGCGCCGCCAGCGGCACTGCGCCCAGAGACCAAGGCTTAGACCGACAGCGGTGGCCGCAGCAAGGGCTGCTGCCTGCATCGTCTCACCACGAGGCCGAAAGACCACGAGGCCGAAAAGGACCACGAGTCCGAAGCACCACGAGGCCGAACTAACCGCAGCGGGCAAGATACTAACACCCGCACTGTCCTTGAACGATATCGGTGTCGCACCGCTCCTACAGCGCTCACACAGCTGTGATCTGTGAAGATACTAACTCACACACACAAGAAGAGTCGTGATTTCTTGTTGGTTAATAAAAATCTCTCTCACACACACACTCCACGTCTCTAACCTGGTAGTCCTTAACCCACCTCTAACATCTCTCTAAGGAATTCCTTGTGCGTACTCCCTCTGATTGGAGCGGAGCTGAGGGCGGCAGCGCGCCCGAGGCCGCGTGTCACGCCCCAGCCTCCCCCCCCCCCCCACCCACCCACCCCACGACCTCCTCCCGATATGCCTCACTCGATGAGCGCCCCGCTGTCATGCTGCGGACGCCACTACGCCACGGCGCACTGCCGTCGCCACCGGTGGGCTACCGAGGTACCTCCCGTTGCTGTGCGCGGGCGTGCCACGCGCGCCCCGCGGTCATGCTGCAGGCGCCTCCATCGCCGTCCCGTGCACGCAACCCCCTCCCATACCACACATGGCCGCGGCACGAATGCTCACGAGAGCCACGCCCCACGCGAGCAGCGAGCGAGTCGCGAGCGAGCATTCGAGCGAGCTTCCCGCCTGCAGCTCGATCACGTCGAGGGGCGGCACGCCTCGATCACGCCTCCTCGCTCCGCCAACTTGACCATCGCTCAGCTCACCGACTTGACCATCGCTCAGCTCACCGACTTGACCATCGCTCAGCTCACCTGGTTGACCGCCTCGCGCACAATCTCGAAGAGGTCGGTGTTGCTGCCGGGCGCGCGCCCTCCGCGCAGCACCGAGTCGCGCACGGCGTCGGCCTCCCGGAAGATAGCCTCGAGTTCCAGTAGCGGCGAACCTTCTTTTCTACCAGGCTAGGATTGAGAGCAGCCTCGCTCTCAATCCTAGAAGCGCGAAGGATTGTGAGCAGCACTCCTCGCAATCGTAGCATCTCTGTGCGATTGTGAGCATCCACGCTCGCAATCCTACACGTCTTCTAGGACTAAGAGCAGCTCCGCTCACAAGGTGACTGGTGACGCTTACGACTACTACCAGCGCGCTCGCAATCCGAGCAAACTCTAGGGTTGCGAGCAGCTTGGCTCACAATCCTAGGAACATGCCTCTGATTGCGAGCAGTAGCGCTCGCAATCCTAGAACTTTCGCCGATTACGAGCGACACCGCCCACAATCCTATGACTTCTAGGATTGCGACCGCGGGTCCCCTCGCAATCGGTGCGATCACTGTTTGGATTGAGGAGACCCCCCCGGCGCGCTGAGCGCTCACTCACAAGCGTTCGCGGCTGGAGCGATTGGGAGCGCCCCCTGTGCGCCTGCTAGCAAACTAGCAGTCCTTGGATCTTTTTGGTACGATTGTGAGCACCGCCGCTCATAGTCCTACAAGATGTAGGATTGCGAGCGCTACTGCCTGAGCCCTGGCTGTCAGGCTGTCAGGTGCTGTCAGGTGATCTGTCGGGCTGTCGGGCAGCTGTCAGGCATTGTCAGGTGCCTCTGTCAGACCAGCTGTCGGGTGCTGTCAGTGCTGTCGGGTGCTGTCGGGTGCGTGTCTGACATCAGAGGGGATCTGTAGCTGTCGGGTGCTGTCGGAGCTGTCGGGTGTTGCTGTCAGACGCTGTCGGACCTGTCAGAGCTGTCAGGCTGCTGCTGCTGTCAGACGTTGGGCTGTTGCTGTCAGGTGCTGTCAGGTGGTGCTGTCGGGGTGCTGTCAGGCTCTGACACACACCAGCCACACTTATGACATTATCAAGAGGAGACCAGCAGGACTCTGCTGCACATACTCTAGTCTCTACTCTGCCTCCGGTCCCACCATCTTCTTCATGGTGGACGTCACCACATCTTCTTGTCTGCCGCACTGAGAGAATAGCAGAGAGGCAGGGGGGAGTGCTTCTTCAGGTACACCTTGCTGATGATCTGGTAGTTGCTGGTCCAGCGGAAGGCCTCCCCATCGTTGTCGCTCGTCAGCTTGTAGTACTTGCACGCTCTGTTCTGGTAGCGCGGGTCGTCTGGGGGGGTCCCGTCACCCTTCACCTCACGGTACCACCGGAGGATAAAGAGGCCCTTGGGGTCGTTGATGAAGACCCCGTTGCTGCGCTGACTCATCGAGAGCTGGCGCAGGTACTCTGCGCTCGAGCTGCCAGTGGCGCGGCGCGCGTCTACCGTGCCGTCGGCGACGGCCACCTGCTCGATGTTGCCAATGGCAAAGACCTTGGAGCTGTCCTCCATGGTGAAGAGCACCGCAACTGCGGAGAGAAAGAGAAGAGGGAGAGATGAGAATGCACGTCTTATGTGTGTGTGTGACAGGCGGCAAGGGCGTGGTCACCGTCATCATCATCCATGTAGAAGTCGAGCTCCTCATCCACATCCTCGCCTCGCTGCTGATGGGACTTGATGAGCCGCTTGACGTGGAAGCGGAGCTTGCGATCCTTTGACTCCTCCTGGAGCGAGTGATGACGCGAAGCAGAAAACACTCCCATGACAAAAACGAACAACGCACCAGGCGACTGCCTGAGAACGCGGGATCGAATCGTAGGAGGCACCTAGAGCAAAATTGAGCCCGCTCAGGTGAAAAAAATATAAGGGGCAAGCAGGTTTCGAACTGGCGACCTTCCGCTTGCGGAAAGGTATCCAGCAAGGAATCGGTGCGAGTGAAAGGGAGGTCGCCGTTCGAAACCTATATAGCATACCGGGGGAATTAGACACCACAGATACGCACACACCGACGCCCGAAGTGCCAAGAAGGACGTCATTAGTACGAAACCTCAGAAGGCCATGGGCGCCGAGAGAACATTCCCCCGAGAGGACAAAAAAAAAAGAAAAGAAGTCGACGCACCCCCTCCTTGCGCAGTGTCCCTCGCTATGTGTCGCCACTATCGGGGCACGCTATCCTGCGCAGGCAGGGCAAGCGGGGGCGGGGGGCACTCCCACAGACGTATGTATCTGTGGTGACTGTCTCCAGTCTCAGAGGGGGGCAAGAAGGTAAGAATATCTAATTTTGACTCCTCCTGGATGGAGACGTTGAAATCTGCCAGCAGCTTACGGATCTCCTCAAAAAACTCTGCGCTACTGCTGCCCTCCTCGCCGCCGGTTGGAGGCGCCACGAGCCACGTTGGCCCCCGTCCGCATCAGCTGGTTCAGCACGGCCTCGGCATCTGCAGCATCCTGTGCGCCCATGGCGGTCAGCTCGGCCGGCTCAGCATCGGGTGTGCCGTTTGGATCATCCTCCTTCTCTCCCGGCTCCTCCAGCAACGCGCCACCCTCGACATAGGTGTCAGCCAGAGGAAAGTGCAATCACGGCTGCTTGAAGAAGCCGGTCTGTGCACAGAGGTTGGCGCGGACTCCACAGAATCGAAGGCGCGGACCACATACACATGTCTTTGCATGTAATAGTTTTGCTATACCCTCATGGGACACAAGAAAGAGGCTGCACGGCCTGAGTACGGTCTGTGCTGCTGTCGGGCTGGTCGGGCTGTCGGGCTGTCAGCGCTGCTGTCAGGCCGCTGTGTGCTGTCGGGCTGTCGGGCAGCTGTCAGGCTGTCACGTTAGGGCCTGACAGCGACGGGACGCCTCTGATGTCAGGCTCTGCTGCCAGGCTGTCAGAGACGTGCTGTCAGACTGTCGGGCACTGTCAGGCGCTGTCCGGGGTTTGCTGTCAGGCTGTCAGACCACACAGGGCTCAGGCTACTGCTCGAATTCGGAGCGGCATCGTGCTAGGATTGTGAGCCAAGCTGCTCGCAATCCTAGACTTTGCTCGGATTGCGAGCGCGCTGGTAGTAGTCGTAAGCGTCACCAGTCATTGGGAGCGGAGCTGCTCTTAGTCCTAGAAGATGTAGGATTGCGAGGCGGCTTAGGGTACCCCTAGGGTTCTGAGGGCCGGATTTTTTTAAGACCTTTTAAGAAATGAGGAGGTTTGGGGGCTCAAATTGTCATTTAAGAGATTGCAGGCACGGGGGGTCCCTCTTTTAAGACCGTTTAAGAAAATCGGCCTCACCGGCACGCGTCGCTGCGTTCGGCGCCGTTTTCTCCAATACTGCCGTTATTAGGCACAAACCCGCCTCTGAAGACACATCTGTAAGTCTGGTGCACTGGCAGGAGCCATACTCGCATAGGGGACGCGTGCCAGCTGACTGTAGCCAGCTTCCCGGCCTCCGGCGTCTGTGGGGAGCCTCCCGGACCATCGACCTCGGGAGCTCTCCCGCAGCGTTTAAGCGTTTAAGACCGTTTAAGGAATCGGAGGCCCAGCAGCTCTTAAAACCGGCCTAGGCCGGTTTTAAGCCGTTTAAGCCGCAGGCGCCCCAGGGCCCACCCTTTTAAGCCTAGGGGTACCCTAAGCGAGGCGGCGTGGGGGTGCTCACAATCGCCGCACACCGCACAGCCACAGAGATGCTACGATTGCGAGCCGCGTCCGAGGAGTGCTGCTCACAATCCTTCGACTTCTAGGATTGAGAGCAATCCTAGCCTGGTAGAAAAGAAGGTTCACCGACAGTAGCCCATACTTCGCGCGCGCCGGCACACGAGCGAACGCTTCGTGCACCGGCGCCGGGACGCTGTCCGCTGTTCATGTGCATGCACATGTGGGAACGCTGCGCCACGTGGCCTCAAGACGTTGTAACTTTTCACTGCCCCCACCGTGCGCGCCTCACAGCCCGCAGTCGCGGCAGTCCCGCGGCTCCCAGGCCGAGGGGGTCGGGGCGGCGGCCGCGCGCTGCCGGCGAGCCCTCTGGTCAGCCGGCCGCCACGCTCAGGCGGTGCGTCGCGCGGCAGAGTCGCAGCGAGAGGGCCGGCGGCGGCGTGCCTCTGGACGGGTCGGCGTGGTGGCGCGCCGCGTGCGACTTCCGCCGCACGGTGAGCCAGCTCACCAGCCGGGCGCGCTCCTCCGCCTCCGCCACGGGCGAAGCGGCGGCGGCGGCGGCGCGGCGCGGCGGCAGCTGGAGCGCGAGCCTCGCGTGGGCGGTGTGCTGCCACGCGTGGCCGAGCGGCGGGCGGACCTACAGGAAGGCTCTGAGACGCTTCCCCGAAGGCTCAGCGAGTCTGCCTCGCGTGGCCGAGGCGGGCGGACGTTGCTTCCGGCGGGGGCCGCGTTGGTAACGAGGACGGAGAGCTGCCAGCGCGCCGCCAGCTGGCGGAGGAGCAGCTGCAGCCGCGCGAGCTGCGCGCCTGCGAGGGAGCGCGAGTCCTCCGCCGCCTCGGACAGCAGAGGCGCGAAGGCCGAGTCGACGATGAGCAGCTTGAGGCGGCGGTACCTGCGGACGCGTCGTGGGCGTGTGAGGAGGCGTGTCTGCGGGCGTGTCTGCGGCGGCGGCGGTGCGGGCAGGGTGGAGGCGCAGGTGTCGTTCGCAGGCGAGTGGAGACGGCGGCGAGGGCAGGAAGGGCCTCGGAAGGGTCTCGGAAGGGCCTCGGAAGGGTCTCGGAAGCGTCTCGGAAGGGTCTCGGAAGCGTCTCGGAAGTATCGCTGCACACCACGACCCTCCGTCGGTGCAGCTCGAGAGCTCCGCGACGAGCGACTCGAGCACGCAGAGCAGGCCTACAGGACGCCTCCGGCGAGCTCCAGGCGCCGGCTCCACGCCCAACGACTCGAGCACGCGCCGAGCACGCGCCGAGCACGTCCTGCGCCTCCGACACGACGCGCAGCCGCTCCCGCAGCCGCCGCTTGCCGAGCTGGCGCGGGTCGGCGGCTGCGGCCGCGGCGCCGCCGTCCGCGCCGGCGGCGGGCGTCGCCTCGGACAGCTCGAGCTGCACCAGCTGCAGCATCCGCTCCGCCGTGAAGGAGAGGGCCGTGTCGATGTACAGCACGTGCCAGTCCGAGGCGGCGAGCTGCCGCGCGCCGATCGCCATGCACGCCTGCGACTTGCCGCTGCCCGAGGCGCCGACGAGCTCGACCACCTCGCCGGTCTGAAGCCCGCCGCCCAGCGCCTCGTCCAGCGGCGCCATGCCCGTGGAGAGCAGCGCGCCGCGCCGGCACGCCTGCTCGACCGCCTCGGCCGCGTTGAGCGCCGCCTGCGCAAAGAGCGTGGACGCCACGCCCAGGCGGTAGCGGCGGCACTCGTCGGCGTCTGCGCGGGGTGGGACGCGCGCGCGGGGGGTTGAGAGGCTCTGGCCGGCCGGGCGCATCGGGCGCCGGCGTCCTCACATTCCGCCGAGGTGTGCGCATCGTCGCGGAGCAGGAGGCAGCCCTCGGCGGTCGCGCCGGCGGCAGGAGAGCCGGAGGGGAGGCTCGCCAGCTGCGCCAGCGGCTGCCGGCCAAGGCGGCTCAGCAAGCCGCTGCGGTCCTCAGAGCAGACAGCGAGGTCCATTCGTCCGAGCCAAAAAAAGCGGGAACACGGACTTGTATTCGGGAGGTTCGCCTCCAGCACTGGCGAGGGGGACCGCGCGCGCTCATCATATGAGTGGGCATTGAGTGCTGGGGGGGGGCGACAGGGGGGACGTGGCCCTGAGTGATGTGTACGCCCACTCAGGGTGTGTGGCAGCCCGCTGGCTGTGTGTCTTGTGAGCTTGTTTGTCTTTGTGTCGCTTCGAGCGTGTCATCATCTCGTCATCTCTGTCTGGGGGGAGGCGGGCCCCCTAGGGGGCACCCATGCGGGGGGAGATGGGGTCCCATGGCCATGATTTTTTGGCATTTTTCTTGCGCGATTTTCTGCTTGTTTCATGAGAATTTCGCGCATTGCGACCAACCATGGTCGATGCTATCACGCCTTGCGACAGCCTGTCGGCGCTGCTGACCGTGCCAAGCTGCACAATTGACCACCTGCATAGCTCGCGGCCTTAGTCTCCAGCATTCAGTGACGACCTGATCGTACGGCCAGTAGGAAGGTGTCCTTCCAGCGAGTGCACGCTTCTGACGCAATGCGCGTCACAAAATGCCTCGGATTGGCTGCTGGCACTCTCGAGGCTATGCCTACGCAGCCTCGCGCGCATGCGCAGTCAAGAGGGACCATGCACCTTCTCACGACAGCGCCGGAATCTCTCTCTTGGACCGGCAAACGTGGTGGTCTCGTGTCACCAATGTGGGACCAGTGCGGCATCGCGCCATCGACAGCTCTGAACTGCGCCTCACCACTGACGGGAAGGCCGCCAAGTGGGCCAGCACCGGTCGCACATTGTGGCAGCAGTCAGTAGTGCATGTCTGATAGCTAGAGCAGCAGCGTCAGGGTCGCAGGGTCGGATCGTGTCAAGCCTCTCGCCCGGCCGGCCGCGTGCAGACTTCGGCCTGTCTGCTGTCTGGAGTGATCTGTCGGCGGTCAGTACGACCGATCAGGTCGGAGTTTTCTGATGGTTGGAGGGTCTATCTGTATGTACTCCTCGAGATCTCTCCAAATCTGCCCTCTGTTAGACCGGGTTAGATCGGGAAGTCGGTGCTAGTAGAGACTAGTAGAGAGAGCCGGGGCCCCGTTTCCGCACTGCGCACGGACTGCTGCGCGGCGCACGGTGCCTCCGGGGGCCCCCGCCCCCCCCCCAGAGCTCGTCATCAACATATGTCTCGCGTCCACCCATACCGCGTTGGTGTCCAGTCCGAGCCTGGCGCTGTTCTTCTTCGCGCCTTTTTTCTATCATCTATCAATGATATCAAAGTGGGAGCAAGTGTGGCGGACGAGGTGGTCCCTCACTTCATTAGATACGAAGCTTTGACCACCCAAAGGGGTACACAGTGCAGCCATGTTTTACGGTGTTTGCGCCACTCCGTCGGCACACGACTCGGCAGCCGCTCTGGCAACCTCTCGCCGCCCGCCCAGGGCCTCGAGGTACTGACGCACCACTCGGCCGCTGACTGGCTCAAGCGCACCGGGCGACGCGAGCCGGTAGAGGCCCTCGCCGGACGTCCAGTACTTGCGCTCAAACAGAGTCAGCCCGTCCTCCGCCGCCGGCAGACTCGCGCGCGTGAGGCCGAGCGGCAGCTTGCGCGCCGCAGCCTGCGGGAGGCGCGGAGAGGCGGGTGGGTGCGGGGAGGCGGGTGGCGCGCGGAGAGGCGGGGCGTCGGCGGCGCGGCGCGCCTGTCGCACGTGCGGCGGGGCAGCAGGAGACGCCGCCACCGCCTGCTAGCCAGCCGGGGTGGGGGTGGGGTGTGTGGAGGGAGTTGCCGAGGGGGCGAGCCGGGAGGGAGGATGTGATCGCCTGCACGGCGGCGCGAAACTCGAGCAAGTAGGGCAGCCAGTTGGACCGCACCTTTTTTTTTGAGGCCCGCGGGAGTGCAGTTTGCGGCGGAGGGGTGCGTGGAGAGAGGCTGCCGGGCAGCGCACCTCTAGCGAGCCGCCGAGCGCCAGCAGGAGCGGGAGCGAGGCGTGAAAGTGCCACCGCCGGCCGCGCTGGCGCGGCTTCGGGTACGGGTTGGGGTAGAGCAGCAGGTGGTGGTCTGTGAGCCAAAAATCGCAGGATGAGACGGATGGGCGGAGGGCGGGAGGGCGGTCACAACTGCTGGAAGCGGCTGCCAACGCGACGGCCAGACATCTGCAGCATGCGCCACAGCGTCGCGAGCTCTGCTCGCAGCAGCAGCGCGTTGGGCGGGACGGCGTCCTTGCCTGTTTTGTGCGGCCCGAGTCGCCGGCCGAGCCGATCGCCAGACCGATCGACGCCGAGGACGAGCGACTGCGGGTGCGCCAGCGCCAGCGCTCGGGTGGATAAGCCGGTGCCGCAGCCCGAGTCGAGGATGAGCGGCCGCTCTCCGGCCGCGTCGAGCCACGCAGTGAGCTCGCCAAACGCATCGTGTGTATGTGGTGGCAGCGGCTGGCGCTCGAGGTATCGCTCGAGGGAGCACGCGTGCTGCACGGCGGATGGGCCAGCGAGCTCGTGCGGCTCGAGCGGGTATGCTGCGGCAAGGCTGCCAGCCGCGGGCGTCGGGCACGGCGGCGCGACGACTGGAGTGAAGAGCTGCGGGCTAGCGGCGAGGAGCATACGTCTCTCTGCACGAAGTCGGTGGTGGCTTCACACCCAGAACTTGGACGAACAGCGACGCCGACGCCGCCGTGGCATCGCGGCGCCGACGACCAGGCTCAGAGGATGACCCCGGGTAAGTGTTCCCGTGCCTCGACAATTGCCGCTGGTAGGCGCGCCGCGCCGAACCATGGCGGGCGCGCCGCGGCCGCGCGCAACCTTCGTCACAATGCCAACCGCGCGCGGCCGTCGACCGGCAAGCACACGCCTCGACTCGGACACAGTGTTCCGGGGGCAAGGGAGAGGGGCTGGCTCCTAGCCCGAGAGGAGAGCTTCCGAGACCCACTACAAGACCACTACTCTGTCCTGTCTCTCTCTCTCCGAGGACTAGGTCTCTCTGACTCTGTTTTGGTTCGAGGAAGAGGTTTCTCTGTTTTGGTTCGGTTCTGGGTGGGAGGGATCTGCTCGAGGAATTCTTGTTTGGGTTGCCTGTGAGCTGTGTTAATGAGTCGCTACTCCTCACCTGTCTGTGCCGTGCATGTCGGCTCGTGTGTGAGACGGAGAGACTTGATTTGTACTCGAGTAACTCTTCCGTATAAGCTAGAAAGAAATCAAACAAACTTTTTTGTTTTTTCTCGACTTTTTTGAAATTCTTCTTGCGCGGAGCACTTGGAGTGCAGTCATCAACCTCACAGGGGCACTTGGAGCACTTGGAGTGCTCTTGGTAACCTCACATTCCCCAAGCCGGGTTATTCTTCCGATTGCTGTGCCTTTTGTGGTGCTAGTTTGTGCCAGAAAGAAAGAAAACAGACAACCCAAGGGAGGGATGGGAGGACGGCGCGCCGCCACCACACAGGGATTTTAAGGAGAGGTGTGTGGCGCGCTAGCCGTCGCCCACCCTAGGGAGTCTGCCTCTTCCTATCTCTCTTCGCAGTCTCTCGCCGATTCTCGCTGCAATCTTCATGCCACCTCGCGGTCGTCCCACTCTCGTCGTTCTCTCCCTTGTCATTTCCAGTAGTTTGTGCCAGTCTGCTGCGGGGCCCCTCGTAGAATTCTTCCGATTGCCGCCCCCGACGCGCGTGTGGTCGCTTGCCTTTTGTATATCATGGAAGAGCAGCTCTACGAGGTCTGCGTCCCAGCGGGCGTGGCGCCTGGCCAGGCGTTTCAGGTTCAGATTGGCGGAGCGCTTATGGCGGTGCAGTGCCCTCCGGATGTTCGGCCGGGAGAGACGATCCAGGCTACAACCGTAAGAGGCAGCGTCGCGCACTGCACCGTGGCACAGCAATACCTCGCCCGCATAGGTCGTCGTGCCGCTGATGTCGCCGGGCGCAGCGGTGGAGGGTGTTCCGGTTTCGCCGGGGGTGGGTGCGCAGGATCCGCCGGTGGTCTCGATGGGTGTCGGTGTGCCAGGCCAGCCAGTGGGGCTGCACGGGCCGCAGGTCCGTCTGGTCGAGGTGGAGGAGATCTCGCCGGCGGGCTGGTGAGTGCCGGCTGCGCTGGATGGCGACGGGTGGTCTGCAAAGCTCACCCGCCCCGCGCCTGGCTGCTAGGTTCTGCCTCATCGTCGGGTGCTTTGCGTGCCCGGGCTTCAACCTGCTTGGCCTCTGCATGCGCGAGAGGAGACTCGTCCCCGTGTCCGAGATGCACGGTGGTTGGTCGTGATGAGCCGCTGGGAGGGGCCGGTCAGTCGGTCGGGGCCGCAGATGTACAGACAGAAGACACCGCACGTCGATCCTGCTCCCGTGGCGGTTCTGCCGCGGTTCTCACTATCACAGTGTGGAGGGTGCATGCGGGTGTGACAACTTGGTGAGAAGCGGGTGTGACAACTTGGCGAGAACATAAAAAACACGCGTCGTCACTGACAGGCAGGGGCAGCTCGCTTGCTCGCAGTCGCACAGGGGGGCCGCGGACACCCAATAAGCAATTAAATGATATGATTTATGCCAAGGCCGAGGCGCCGCGCCCGCCTCCTTTTTCGAGAGCGGGTCCGCGCGAGCCCAAGCCCAGCGAGCCGGACGGCACCCTGTGCAAATGCACAGCAAGTGAGCAGCCGGGCCGGTAAGCGGCCCCGCGCCGCCCGCGCAGCGCAGAAAAAACGGGGGCAATGCGGGCGTGGCGCCAGCGCCGCCAGCGCCAACTCTCAGCCCGCAGAGCCTGAGCGCCCCCCCCAACCAGCGGCCACGCGCCGGCGCTCCCAGCAAACCTCCCCGAGGCGTCGGCGCACCGCCGCCGCCACCGCTGCTCGCTCACATAGGCGGCTTGAGCGAGTAGCGGCCGCTGCGCAGCTGCGAGAGGGTCACCTTGAGCTTGGCGCCATCGCTCGCCTGCGGGCAAAGGTGGGGGGAGGGGGCGGTGAGGCGGGCGCCGCCGCACGGCGCGGACCTCGCAGGCGCCGCGCGCCCGCAGCGTCGTCTCGACCGCATTCATCGCCGAAATGGTCCACTCGTCCTCCAGCCGCTGCGAGGACGCGGAGGCGGACGTGTCAGCCGACGTGTCAGCCGACGTGTCAGCGGGCGCGGCGGCGCGAGCAGAGGGTGCACGCAGAGACGCGGACGCCATCCAGAGGCGCATGATGGGTGGGAAGCGTCTTGAAGCGTCTAGGAACGTCTCGGAGAGCGTCTCGGGAGCGTCTCGCCACCTGCCCGTGCTGATAGACGAGGACGGCGCCGTTTCGCTCAAAGCTGTGCCCGTGGCAATGCAGCTGCAGCCGGCTCCGGTCGTACCACACCTCGTTGCCGCCGTGCGCGTCCCCGCTCGCCATCGCGGCGCTGCGCACTGTGTAGTGGTCCACATTCTGCAAGGCAGAAGGGCCGCGGGTGAGTCGAGGGCGGCGGGTTGGCGCGCGAGGCGTGGCGCGGCCGGCCGGGCGGCGGCGGCGCGCCCTCAAGATCTCCTCGATGTCGGCCTTGCACTCTTCGGGCTTGAGCATGTAGTTCACGCTCGGCCCGGGCGCCGCCTAGCGGGCAAGCGCGGCGAGAGTGAGGGAAACGGCGGGCGAGGGCGGCGAGTGAGCGCGGCAGCAAGGGAGGGGCGAGCGGCAACGAGAGCGCAACAGCAAGCGAGGGCAGCGGCGACGGACGCAGGGCAGTGAGCGGCGGCGGGGCAGAGGGTGCAGGGAGGAGAGAGGCAGCGGGAAGCAGCGGCCGGGAGGGCGGCGGCGAGGAGTGCACACCACCTTGGCGCGCTTGGCGTCGCCCTCCCCCCCCTTGGCGTCGCCCTTGGCGGGGTCCGCCGGGCGCCGGCCGTGCTTGAAGCCGACCTGCCTCGCCATCGCGCGCTGCTTCTGCTCCAGCGAGTCGATTAGCCGGCTCTGAAAGAACTCGAGCTGTGCCTGCGCAGCGCGGGAGCACGCGGGTTGGGTCAGCAGATGCGGAGCGGGGGCGCAGGTGATGGCACGCGCGGCCGGTCGCGCGCGCGGGCGAGAAGGGCGGCGGGCGGCGGGCGGCGGCGGCGGCGGCGGCGGCGGCGACGCGAGGCGTGGTGCACCTTGTACTCATCATCGACCTGCTTCTTGTCGCACTCGAATAGCGCGAGCACGTTCTTCGTCTGCGCATTCTTCAGCGCCTCCGCCTGCGTAATCTGCTGCTGCATCGTCGCCTTGTGGCTCGCCAACTCCGCCACCAGCGCCGGGTGGGTGCCTGCAGAGGGCGCAGTGCGAGGAGGCTCAGTGCAGACAGAGGAGGTGGCGGCGAGTTTTGCGGCCGACCGCACCGTTGGTGATGGACTCAATCTCAGCCTTCCAGCCTGAGCTAGATGCGCCTTCGTCCGCGTCGGCGTCGCCCACCCGTGCCTCGTCTCCAGGGTTGCCGCGGCGAACCGAATAGCGCAGCGACATGCCGGGCTCGAGCGAAGATGGGTGTAAAAATAAGAGCCAAATGGTTCTCGGGCGGCGAAAATCGTTTTCTGCTCACGGCGCCTCGCAAAGGAATCACGTTGCGCAGCGGAGAGACGAAGAGGACCGCCGCAAGCAAGCGGCGTGGCGTGGGTCGGTTGTGCATCCCTCCGGGGGCCCCTCTGCGCCGGGGAGGCGTTGTTGGAGGCTAGGACGCAAGCGTCCGTCGCCCTTTTCAAACTCGGGGCCCACTCACTCCGCTAGTCCGCTACGCTCCGACCCGAATTTGGTTGGAGGGCCTGTCCCCGCGGAGAGCGACGCGACAGAGGAAGAAGCGACAAGGGAGAGCACGACGAGAAGGGGGCGACCGCGAGGTGGCACGAAGGTCGCAGCGAGAATCGGAGAGAGACTACTGGTACTGCGAAGAGAGAGGGGAAGAGACAGCAGGAGAGAGAACGACGAGAGTGAGAAGAATGCGAGGTGGCATGAAGGTCGCTGCAAGAATTGGTGATAAACTGCGGAGAGAGATAGGAAGTGGTAGACGCCCGAGGGTGGGCGACGGCTAACACCACACTTCTCCCCTAAAATCCCTGTGTGGTGGCGGCGTACCGTCCTCCCATCCCTCCCTTGGGTTGCCTGTTTTCTTTCTTTCTTTAGAGAGATAGGAAGAGGCGGACGCCCAAGGGTGGGCGACGGCTAGCGCATCACACCCCTCTCCTTAAATCCCTGTGTGGTGGCGGCGTGCCGTCCTCCCATCCCTCCCTTGGGTTGTCTGTTTTGCTACCTGAAAAGAAAAACACCTTGGAGCGTTGAGACTCCGTGCCCGTTCTGTGGCCTTGTTCCAGACGCTTCCCCTTGCTACGTCGTCTGCGACTCTCAACGCGCCACCAAAAATGTCTGCCGGCGAGGAGGTCGAGACGTTCGCCTTTCAGGCTGAGATCAACCAGCTGATGAGTCTCATCATCAACACCTTCTACTCAAACAAGGAGATCTTCCTCCGCGAGCTCATCTCCAACTCGTCCGACGCGCTCGACAAGATCCGCCACCAGGCGCGCACGCCGCAGCCGCCCACCCCGCCCCAACCCATCCCGCGGGCGGCAGCCCTGTCACCCTTCCCTCGCCTTCTCTACGCCGCCACCGGCACTGCCGCCTCGCCCTTCCCCTCTCAAGCACCAATGCGTCTCGAGCAATGCGTGCCACGCGCCGTGGCGCAGCCCCTTCTGCCTCCCCCGCTCACAGCACGCCCCGCCCGCCCCGCAGTCGCTCACCGACAAGTCGGTCCTCGATGGCAACCCGGAGCTCTACATCCGCCTCGTGCCCGACAAGTCCAACAACTCGCTCACCATCATCGACTCTGGCGTCGGCATGACCAAGGCCGAGATGATCACCAACCTGGGCACCATCGCGCAGTCGGGCACCAAGGCCTTCATGGAGGCCATGTCGGCGGGCGCCGACATCAACATGATTGGCCAATTCGGCGTCGGCTTCTACTCCTCCTACCTCGTCGCCGACCGCGTCGTCGTGACGTCCAAGCACAACGACGACGAGCAGCACGTGTGGGAGTCTGCGGCGGGCGGCTCGTTCACGGTGCGCAAGGACGCGGACGGCGAGGCGCTCGGCCGCGGCACGAAGATCATGTGCTACCTCAAGGAGGACCAGCTCGAGTACCTCGAGGAGCGCCGCCTCAAGGACCTCGTCAAGAAGCACTCCGAGTTCATCAACTACCCGATCTCGCTGTGGACCGAGAAGACGGTGGACAAGGAGGTGGACGACGACGAGGACGAGGAGGAGGACGAGAAGAAGGAGGAGGACGGCGACGAGCCCAAGATCGAGGAGGTCGACGAGGAGGCGGAGAAGAAGGAGAAGAAGAAGAAGAAGGTCAAGGAGGTGACGCACGAGTGGGACCTGATGAACAAGCAGAAGCCCATCTGGACGCGCAAGCCCGAGGAGGTGACCAAGGAGGAGTACGGCGCCTTCTACAAGGCGCTCTCCAACGACTGGGAGGAGCACCTCGCCGTCAAGCACTTCTCCGTCGAGGGCCAGCTCGAGTTCACCTCGATCCTCTTCGTGCCCAAGCGCGCGCCGTTCGACCTGTTTGAGCCCAAGAAGAAGAACTCGGGCCACATCAAGCTGTACGTGCGCCGCGTCTTCATCATGGACAACTGCGAGGACCTGATCCCCGAGTGGCTCACCTTTGTCAAGGGCGTGGTCGACTCGGAGGACCTGCCGCTCAACATCTCGCGCGAGACGCTGCAGCAGAACAAGATCCTCAAGGCGCCGCGCCCCACGCGCCTCCGAGACGCGCCCGCCCTCTCTCTCTGACGCTCGCCTCGCCCCCCTCGCCTCGCAGGTCATCAAGAAGAACATCGTCAAGAAGGCGATCGAGCTCTTCGGCGAGATCCAAGAGAACACCGAGGACTTCAAGAAGTTTTACGAGCAGTTCTCCAAGAACGTCAAGCTCGGCATCCACGAGGACTCTGGCAACCGCGCCAAGCTCGCCGAGCTGCTCATGTACCACTCGACCAAGTCGGGCGACGAGATGACGTCGCTCAAGGACTACGTCTCCCGCATGCCCGAGTCGCAGAAGGACGTCTACTACATCACCGGCGAGACCAAGAAGGCGGTCGAGACGTCTCCCTTCATCGAGCGCTGCAAGAAGCGCAACTACGAGGTGCTCTACATGACGGACCCGATCGACGAGTACTGCGTGCAGCAGCTCAAGGAGTACGACGGCAAGAAGCTCGTCTCGGTGACCAAGGAGGGCCTCAAGTTTGAGGAGACCGAGGAGGAGAAGAAGGCGTGGGAGGAGCTCACCGCCGACTTCGAGCCGCTCTGCAAGCTGATGAAGGAGATCCTCGGCGACAAGGTCGAGAAGGTTGTCATGTCGGAGCGCGTCACCGAGTCGCCCTGCGTGCTGGTGACGGGCGAGTACGGCTGGACCGCCAACATGGAGCGCATCATGCGCGCGCAGGCGCTGCGCGACTCGTCGATGTCTTCGTACATGGCCTCGAAGAAGACGATGGAGATCAACCCAAAGCACTCGATCATGAAGGAGCTCAAGGCCAAGTCGGCCGCCGACAAGGGCGACAAGACGGTCAAGGACCTGGTCCACCTGCTCTTCGAGACGTCGCTCCTGACCTCGGGCTTCTCGCTCGACGAGCCCGCCACCTTTGCCGGCCGCATCCACCGCATGATCAAGCTCGGCCTCTCCATCGAGGACGACGACGAGGCGGACGACGTCGAGGAGCTGCCGCCGCTCGAGGAGGACGGCGACGAGGGCTCCAAGATGGAGGAGGTGGATTGAGCACGCGGTCGGGGCACAGCTTGCGTGCCGCTCCCGCCTAGAGATCGCTCTCCGCGGGATCGCGCATGTGTGCGAAACTGCCAAGGGCCGGCCGCGTCGGCGCGTGTGCGACCGGGACCGAGCGGCTGAGCCTCAGGCCTCAGCGCGGGAGGGTTGGCTGCCTGTGTCCCTCTGATGTAGTGCGCTTGTATTTTTGAGAATTTGACTCATTCGCTACGTTGAACCCCACACACCAATGATCATGCTGCTCGCTACCGACGTACTCCTACTCGTGACACTGAAGTCTGAACGTCCGGGGCTGGGCAAAGGCCAAAGAGCGGTGTGCGAAACGCGGTCGGAGCTGGCGATCGCTGGCGTCGACTGGCGCGGCCCGTGCGACTAGTGCCGCCCGCCGCGCCCCCCGGCCAAACGTGTTATCTCGCCGCCGCAGCGAGTCGGTCGATCTCAGCGTCGGCCGCGCCGGCGCCGGGCAGCTCGAGCGCACGCGTGCGCCAGGCCGCCGAGTCTGCGCCGCGCGAGAGCTTGTCGCAAGCGAGGCTCGCCTTGTACGCGGCCTGAGATCGGGTGGCGGTCTCCACAGTGAGAAGGTGGAGGAGCGTGTGCGCCGCATCCCCACCGCTCTCGACCGCTCTCCAATCGTCTCCCCTTCCCTCTCGGCCACTCTCCACCTTCTTGCTCGGCTTGCGCTCCCAAGCCCGCTCGTAGTAGTCGAGCGCCTGATGTAAGAGAACACACGGCTCGGCTGTAGCACAATCTCGTGCACTGCACTCCGGCGCCTCGTGGGCGTGCACGAGCTCGAGATGAGGTCTCGAGTGCTCGCCAGAATACCAAGATGCGCGGTCCGCATCTAGAGTCTCGAGCGCGCCTCTGCGTACGTCGACTCGGGCGCCTGCCCAAACAGCAGCTTCGCGGCGTTCGCCTCGACCCAACCGATGCCAGCCACCTGCGGGGTCCGAGTGGGGTCCGAGTGGGTGCCCACTTTGGGAGAGGGTATCCGGGCACCGACGTGCGACACGCCAAGGGCTGCAGGGAAGTAGAGGACCCGTCGGCCCACCCTCTCTCTCTCTCCTGGCCCGCAGCGGCCGAGCGCACCTTGAAGCACCACTCGCCGAGCGCGAGCTGGACGGACCCGTCCGCCGGCCGCATCTCCGCCGCCGTCTGCAGCGCGTCGCGGATGCGAAACGAGTTGGCCACCTTCTCCTTAGTCGGCAGGTAGGTGCCGAGAGCGCCGAGCAAGATTCCAACCCACTGCGCCGGTCAGGGGCAGCAGTCAGAGGCGGCGGTGCTGGGCGTTGGAGGGCGGAGGAGGGCGGCGGCGAGGGCGGCGGCGAAGCTGTTGTGGCGAAGCTGCTGGCATCTCGCCACAACTGTTGACACGATCTCGGCGCCACTCGCATCTCGGCGAATCTCGGCGACGTCCCGTCTCGGCGCCTTGTGGCAGAGGGCGCTCTCAGCGTCGCCCTCCTCGGCGCGGGCGAGGGCCGCCTCCGCCACCGCCAGGCCTGCGCGGAGCAGCGCCTCCTTGCGGCCCTTGTCCGCCTGCGGCCGGCGGCGGGGTCGCGGCTGGCGTCGGGGTGGTGTGCATATAGCCACTGCCCTCTCACGTCTCAGACCTCTGGCAACGAGTCGGCTAGGTCGTGGTGAGCACGGGCAAAGCGCCACGCCAGATGGAGCTCGGCGGCGTCGTCGCGCGCGGCCAGGTGCTCGTACAGCGTCTCGTAGCTCTTCGAGGTGTGGAGCTCGTCAAGAGCCTCCACTGAGCCGGGTGCTGGCGCAGTAGGTGGCGGCGGCGGCGGCGACAGAGGCGGCGGAGGTGGTAGCGGCGGTGGCGGCGACAACGTTGGTGGTGGTGGCGGCGGCGGCGGCGGTGGCGGTGGTGGCGGCGAGGAGATGGGAACGGCAACTACTGTCGGAGGAGGAGGCACAGCGATGGCAGTCGGCGCCGCATGGTTTGAGGTGACGGGCCCACGGAAGAACTTGCGGATGGCTGCTCGCTTCCTCCCGTTCTTGAGTAGGATAGGACAGTGACGGCCCGTTGTGAGTGGGTAATACTGGTAGGAAAGGCTCGTCGACGTCGTCGCTGCTGGTAGCCGCATGCTGAGCTCAGGCCGCGGAGAGTCGAGGAGACTGCCGAAAGTCAACAAAAGAATTTGATCGCCAAAGAATTTGCGGAGCCGAATTTACAAAACTCCCTCGCACGACCAGGTGTGGAGGCATCACACCCGCTCTCCTTAAAATCCCTGTGTGGTGGCGGCGTGCCGTCCTCCCATCCCTCCCTGGTTGCGTGTTTTCTTTCTTTTCTTGCGCCTCGTTCGAGTTGCTCGTTCGTGGATGGATGGAGAGTGCTCCTCCCTCCCTTGCTGTGTATTCTTTCTTTCTTGAAAGAACTGGGGAGCGAATAAAAAGAATCCAAAATCTTTCGTCCGTTCCGGTCCCGTGTCGGTTACAATCCACCTTTCCGTCGGCGGTCTTGCCGCGTGTGCCAGACACATGGCGGTGCTGCCCCGCTCCACGCCTCCGTCCGACCCGCTCGTCGCGGGCGTGGCCTTTGACGGGCTAGAGAATGACTTGGTGGACGGTGGATTCGTCGGCGAGGGCTCTGAGGAGGAGGAGGAAGTCTTGACGGAGCACGCCGGTCCGGGCGGCTCCTCCTCCTTTGAGGCCGTCCTGCTGCAGCTGGAGCAGGCGCCCATTCGCCAACCACGCCAACACGTCCAGTTCCAGAGCTCACAGACCAGTGCCAGCATGTCTCTCTGGTTGCCAGGTGATGATGGAGCCTCATTTTGAGGAGGAGGTTGGCGGCTTCCTCTCAGCACACTGTGATGAATTTGAGGAGGGAGAGAACAAGCTGGAGTACACCGCCATCTTTGAGAGGTGCGCGTTGTGGCGATGAAGCACAGACACCGCCTCTCACACGAGAGATATCGGCCCGCACCACCGTTTGGGGGAGGGTTTGCGATCACTCGCACCGTCCGTCACCAGGTACGTGGCGGTTCTCGAGGCGCACATCGAGAAGGCCCTCGCCGCGCGGGTCGTCGGCCTCGACTTCTCAGCCTTCTGTGCCGAGCTGCTGGAGCGGGGCCCATCGGCACTCGGCGAGCAGCTCAATCTCGATGTCCTGGGCTCCTTTGGCTTTGAGGGCTTCAAGGTGAGCCCGGCTTGCCCTTTGCACTTGGTGGGTGGTGTGCGGGGCTCCCGAGACGTAGAGAGACGCGGAGGTGTCCCAACATTAGCGCGTGGACACGGTTATCGTGCCCTTGATTCGCCTCAGGAGCTGATGCTGGCGGAGAAGCGCGGCCGTCAGTGCTGCGGCGGCCTCGTCGGTGCTCCGCTGCCGCTCCACGCCGACGAGCAGGAGGACGGCGAAGCGATCCCAGACCTAAACTTGCACATCACCCCGGTCCCCTCGCTGTGGCGGCATGCGCAGCAGCCCTCGGGGATATAGGGTGTGCGCGTTTGTCGAAGAGGACGGGTAGTCTGGACGGCCGTATTTACGCCGGTGCGTGGATCGCCGGTAGAAGCCGTACCGCGTACGTTTGAGTGGGGAAGCCCGGAAAGTCTTGTGTTTCTCCGTGACTCCGTCGCCTTTAACGGATAGCATTATACTTCACAGCACGTTGGGAGATGTTTTTGCCCCAACCCTCGCACGCCTGCACACACGACTCTCGTGTTCCGGTGCCTGCCAACCCTGCTAACGTGTGCGCCTTCGCGCCCCGGCTTCCGCGCCCCCCTGACTCCTCATGCGCCCGCCGCGGCCCTGCCCGCCTTCTTCGCCGCCGCTTCCTCGGCGCGCTGCTCCTTGAGCATCCTCAGCCGCGCCTCCCGCGGGTCCTCCACCTGCCGGCGGGCACACAGTGTGATGCGCACTACACTTTGCGCGTGGCGTGCGTACAGCTAACCGCTGAATACAGTGGGTGCAGCGTGGATACGATGGCGCATAGTCGAGTACAGTCTCCGGCAGCGGGCCAGCACAGGGCTACCCATCCCGCATCTAGAGCAGCCGCCTTGAGATCGCCCGCCTCGATCGCCCGCATCCGCGCCTCCTGCTTCTCCTTGCGCGCCGCGATCGCCGCAAAGAGCGCCGACTGCGGGTCCGAGCCCTCGCCCGCGCCGGCGCCAGACCTCGAACTAGACGGTGGCGGCGGTGGCGGCCGCGGCGGCGGCGGCGGCGCTCGCGGCGGCGGCGGCGGCCCCCCAGAGGGCGGTGGCGGCGGCGGAAGTGCGGAGGGCGGCTCGGCCGGCTGCTCCTTGCGCCACGGGAGCATCGAGGCCGGCGGCTCGCACAGCGCGCGCACCTCCTGCTCCGACGGGACCGTCTGCCCGAGCTTGACCTGCAGCGGGGGCCAACCCGATTAATGATGACTGAAGCGTTAACGATTGGACCTGCAGCAGAGCCTGCAACCTCCTCTGGCAGCCTCGTCCGAGCGTCATCGCCCCTCTCTCGCCTCCATCTCGACTCGCTCCCGGCTAAATCTCGCGACCTGCAGCATCTTGAGAAAGTCCTCCGCGTGCGCCGGCATGCCCGGCCGACCGAGCACGTGCACAAGGCAGCGCATCTCCTGCGGGCGGGCGGGGCGTGGAGGGCAAGGCGTGAGGTGGGGCGGGACAGGGTAGAGCTCACGCGACCAGCTCCGGCCGGGACGGCACCCTCCGGCCCGGGTGGAGAGGGGTGGCGGTCCGCGAGGCGGTGTGTGTGTGTGTGTGTGTGTGTGAGGGGGGGGGGGGGGGGGCTCTCCTGCGGACGGAGGCCGGAGCAGCCCATGTTTCGCCACGCGTACGGAGACAGCTTGCGCAGCTCCTCCGCGTCTGAGACGAGCAGCCCCAGCTCCGGCTTGCGCTTGAAGCGGCGCACCTCGGACACCTCGCCCTCGCCGCCCGCCAGCGTCTGCCAGAGCCAGCCGAGCGCCCCGTGCACCTTCGCATTGGCCGAGGCGAGGGCGGACGCCTATCGGAAGGCTCACGGAAGGCTCACGGAAGGCTCCTGGAAAGCTCCGGGGCGGCGCGGGCGGACGCCTTCGCCATCGCCTGGCGCATCGTCGCCTGCTTCCGCTCGCGATCCTCCTCCTGCTGCAGCTTGCGCCTCTGCTGCGCCTCGAACGCCTGGATGCGCAGCCGGCGCGGCTGGTCGATGAGCTCGCCCAGCTTAATAGTCATCATCTCGGCAAAGCCGAGCGTCGCGTCGTCCGGATCGTTGCTGATGCCGAGCCGCGCGAAGACCTCGTCCGAGGCCTCCTCGACGTAGATCTGCATGAAGCTGCCGTACAGCTCCTGCAGCTGCTCGTCCGCCAGCTGGACGAGGGCGCCTGCGGACATGTGTCACAGACATGTCACGGACGTGTCGCGGACGTGTCGCGTCGTGCCGTGGCGGGCGTGTGAGGCGGCAACGCGAGAGCCGAGATTCTCCGAGATCAGCGGAGATTGACAGCACGGCGTGGGACGCAAGGGCGGCATGGCAGTGGCGGGAGGTGTCGCGGCGTGGGAGTGCCACACGCCATTGTACTCGTCGAACAGCTTCTGGTCGAAGCGCCCCTCGGAGCGCATCGTCAGCACGCCGCGCAGCTTGCCTACAGCCGAGGTACATCCGAGATGCAACCCGACGCACACCCGAGGTGCAGCGCGGCGCGCAGCTTGCCGAGGAAGTGCTGCAGCGCCTTCTCGTCCTCGTCCTCCTCGACCTCCACGCCGCCGGTGACCTTGAGGTTCATGTTCTCGTTCCGCAGTGCCTCCTTCTCGCGCATGAGCGCCTCCTGCGCCGCCTTCATCGCCTCGAGCTGCCCGGGAGAGGGGCGCGAGAGGGTGAGGCCAGAGGCGGCGTGAGGGAGAGAGAGTGAGGGAGCGGGCACGGAAGAAGCGGCGGCAGGGGACGAGCCGAACGGGACAATCGTCTTGAGTGGTCTGAGAAGCAGCGGCTAGGGCATCTCGGACGTGTCTCGGCTCCACCTGTCGCTTCATCTCCTCCAGCTCGTTCTGCGCCTGGCTGCGCGGCGTCATCGGAGCCGAAGACGCGGGGGCGGCGGCGGCAGCAGGCGGCGGCGCCGGGGCGGGAGCGGGCGGTGGCGGCGGTGCGACAGGCGCTGGTGCGGCCGGTGCGGGAGCGGGCGGCGGCGGCGGTGGTGCGGGAGCTGGGGACTGCGCCGGCGAGGGCGGGCCGTTCCCCCGCGGCGTCTGGCCGGAGCCGCGCGGGGTGAGCGCCTCGACCTCCGCCTTGAGGTCGGAGGGGGACGCGTTTGTGCCTCCGAGCTCCTGCCGCCGCTCGAGCGAGAGCACGGGCACTGACGCGGCGACGAGCTGCGGGGGGAGGGCGGGGGAGCGTGAGGCGGGAGCGGCCGGGCAGCGAAGCCGAGGGCGTCGATGGCAGTAGAGGCAGCTAGCGGCTGGAGGGCCCCTAAGCGCTTTGGAAGGCAGTGGCCCGGGAGGGGACGGTTCTCGGGAAGTCGCCTGCAGCGGCGAGATGCCAACGGCCTCCTCCTCCTCCTCCTCCTCCTCCTCCTCCTCGGATGACTCCTCGCTCGGCGCTGCAGGTGCGCTGTGCCCGAGAAGCGCCATGAGCTCGTCGTGATCGACAACGTCCGCCGCCCGCCCCTCCGCCCCCCCCTCCGCCTCGCCCGCCGCCTCGCCCGCCGCTGCCCCAGTAGCGGCGGCGTCCGCCTCGGAGGCAGCCTCGCTCTGCTGACTCGCGGAGGCGGTGGCGGCCACGGGCGGCGCGACGGCTGCCTCCTCCTCCTCCTCCTCCTCCTCCTCCTCGCTCGGCGCCGCAGGTGCGCCGTGCCCGAGCAGCGCCATGAGCTGATCATGGTCGACAACGTCTGCCGCCGGCGCACCCTTTGGCGACGGCGGCAGCGGAGAGGCTGGCGCGACAGGCTGCACTGGCGCGGGGTCCGGGACCGCCACAGGGGCGGCCCCCCCCGCGGGAGCGTTCAGCTCCGACACTGGCTGGTGATGGTA